ATGGCTTCCTCGTAAACGTTAAACTAAGAAGTTTTACCAAATATGGCTCTCGTAAACGTTAAACTAAGAAGTTTTACCAAATTGGCTCTCGTAAACGTTAAACTAAGAAGTTTTACCAAATAGGGCTCTCGTAAACGTTAAACTAAAAAGTTTTTCCAAATATGGCTCTCGTAAACGTTAAACTAAGAAGTTTTTACCAAAATATGGCTCTCGTAAACGTTAAACTAAGAAGTTTTACCAAATATGGCTCTCGTAAACGTTAAACTAAAAGTTTTACCAAATATGGCTCTCGTAAACGTTAAAACTAAGAAGTTTTACCAAATATGGCTCTCGTAAACGTTAAACTAAGAAGTTTTTCCAAAATATGGCTCTCGTAAACGTTAAACTAAGAAGTTTTTCCAAATATGGCTCTCGTAAACGTTAAACTAAGAAGTTTTACCAAATATGGCTCTCGTAAACGTTAAAACTAAGAAGTTTTTTTCCAAATATGGCTCTCGTAAACGTTAAACTAAGAAGTTTTACCAAATATGGCTCTCGTAAACGTTAAACTAAAAAGTTTTTTCAAATATGGCTCTCGTAAACGTTAAACTAAGAAGTTTTTCACAATATGGCTCTCGTAAACGTTAAACTAAGAAGTTTTACCAAATATGGCTCTCGTAAACGTTTAAACTAAAAAGTTTTTTTCCAAATATGGCTCTCGTAAACGATTAAATCTAAGAAGTTTTACCAAATATGGCTCTCGTAAACGTTAAACTAAAAAGTTTTTTCCAAATATGGCTCTCGTAAACGTTAAACTAAGAAGTTTTCCAAATATGGCTCTCGTAAACGTTAAACTAAGAAGTTTTAACCAAATATGGCTCTCGTAAACGTTAAACTAAAAAGTTTTTTCCAAATATGGCTCTCGTAAACGTTAAAACTAAGAAGTTTTACCAAATATGGCTCTCGTAAACGTTAAACTAAGAAGTTTTACCAAAATGGCTCTCGTAAACGTTAAACTAAGAAGTTTTTCCAAATATGGCTCTCGTAAACGTTAAACTAAGAAGTTTTACCAAATATGGCTCTCGTAAACGTTAAACTAAGAAGTTTTACCAAATATGGCTCTCGTAAACGTTAAACTAAGAAGTTTTTCCAAATATGGCTCTCGTAAACGTTAAACTAAGAAGTTTTTCCAAATATGGCTCTCGTAAACGTTAAACTAAGAAGTTTTTACCAAATATGGCTCTCGTAAACGTTAAACTAAAAGTTTTTTCCAAATATGGCTCTCGTAAACGTTAAACTAAGAAGTTTTTACCAAATATGGCTCTCGTAAACGTTAAACTAAGAAGTTTACCAAATATGGCTCTCGTAAACGTTAAACTAAGAAGTTTACCAAATATGGCTCCGTAAACGTTAAACTAAGAAGTTTTACCAAATATGGCTCTCGTAAACGTTAAACTAAGAAGTTTTACCAAATATGGCTCTCGTAAACGTTAAACTAAGAATTTTTACCAAATATGGCTCTCGTAAACGTTAAACTAAGAAGTTTTCCAAATATGCTCGCGTAAACTGTTAAACTAAGAAGTTTTACCAAATATGGCTCTCGTAAACGTTAAACTAAGAAGTTTTCACAAATATGGCTCTCGAAACGTTAAACTAAGAAGTTTTACCAAATATGGCTCTCGTAAACGTTAAACTAAAAGTTTTTCCAAAATATGGCTCTCGTAAACGTTAAACTAAGAAGTTTTTTCCAAATATGGCTCTCCGTAAACGTTAAACTAAGAAGTTTTACCAAATATGGCTCTCGTAAACGTTAAACTAAGAAGTTTTACCAATATGGCTCTCGTAAACGTTAACTAAGAAGTTTTACCAAATATGGCTCTCGAAACGTTAAACTAAGAAGTTTTACCAAATATGGCTCTCGTAAACGTTAAACTAAGAAGTTTTTCCAAATATGGCTCTCGTAAACGTTAAACTAAAGAAGTTT